AAATGCATGAAAGAAAAAAACATTTAAATACATATCTTAGGGTTCATTTCCCTAAGATAAGGTGATGTTAGGAAAATGAGTACATTTCTTATTGAGCATTGTTGCCTCCTCCTTTGTTTTCCCCCTCCCATCCCTTCCCTCCCACCTCCACAACTACACTCCCCATCCAAGTTGTAAAATTTGTTTTCAGCATAGGGTTTTGTCAACCTGTGTCCTTATTTAAGCATTTTATTGTTTCCCTTCCCCTCTCCAAATTAGAGAACTGTATATACAAGATGCAGGGCACCGACCTCAAATACAGTGAAATCAGGGGTTATACCGTGAGGGAGGAACATACAAAGCAACAAAAAAAAATCACATGGTACATTATAAATCTATAACATTGCCATATATTTTGTTCTGTGGCTCTCTTATAAATAGGATGTGGTCAATTATATTCTTTCTTCTTTGTACTCCCTAGAATAGGTATATTGGAAGATAAGAACTGCGGCGAGCGCCTTCTCAGCCAGCGAGGAAGAACGACCACCACACCAGGAGTCTTCTCAGATCACACTTTATTGGAGAGCTTTTGAGTTGATAGGAGAGCTTGAGCGAGAGGCCCCATACATGAAAATGTGGCCGCTTAGATAGGGAATAGGAACACGGGTCGTTCTATCATTGGTCGTCTGCCTTTCACCGTCACCAGGTGCCACGGGATTGGCTAAGGGCTCTAAATGGCTTGCACATGCGCAAAGCCCGGGACCCACAGTCCCGCCAAGCACTGCCTAATATGGAGTTGTTTACCTCAAAGCTGCAAGGAAGTGGGCGCCATCTTGTAATGGCATTTGCCCTGGCTCCCTGCAGTTCCCCCTTTTTGTTTTTAGGCGACAGGTAAAAGTAGAGGTATGTTCCCTGATAGAAGAGGACAATACAAAGCCTTTGCTCCAGGTTATCTCTTCCCAGAGGCCGGCCCGCCAGTCCAATGCCTTTTTTTCAGGGGTGGGAGAGAACACGGCATCAACCCACAAACAGACTTGCTCCTCTTGAGGAGATGAATACCTTCCCCAAGTGCAGTGCATACGCCTGGCACCCTGTCCCATATAATAAGCTGCATACCTATCCCGGTGCAATGGGATCCCCTGATCCCTCGGGGTGCTAAGGCTATGCATGGCCCTTCAGGGCTGACAGCCAAATCTGGGGTGAGGATCCACTTTCCAAGGCGGCTAATGCTTGTGAGATAACAACCTTGTCCCTTCTGGTTGGGCTCGAAGGCGACAGACCAACCATACGCAGACTACGCATCCTCCCAGGCAGCAGGCCAAAAACATTCCAACCCCCACCCACTCTTTAAACCAGGAAACAGCAGAGGAGACCCAAGACTGGAGTCCCTCCACCAATCCGGCATGCACCCGCTGACGTGCAGGAGGGAATCCTACAGTATATTTCCCCCTGGACTATGTTCAGGAATGCGCTTTAACTTGCTTTTTGAAAAAAACAAAAGCAACATGCTCTGCAGATCATGGAGCGCTTGGTGCAATTTTCTCCTTGCTCCAGCTCCAGACTGCAAAAAGATGAAAGATAGGTTCTGCTAATGCTGAACAAGGCCCTTGGCCTGCATGCTTTGTAAGCTCAGGAGCCCACAGGATTCAGAAGGTCCGAGAGTGGGGGTCACAGTCATCGCCAGAGCTCCCTAGCAACTCATGGCCCCATCAAGGGCAGCTGCTGATTCCTCTTCCTTCTCCTCATCTCTCAGCCTTTAGTTGAAATTACAGCAAGTCAAATAGCTGATGCTTTTCCCTTCTCTGGGTAAGGGGGAGGATACATTGTTCACCAGTGTGTTCTGTCTGGCTTCTCTGATGAGTCGGCATGCTAAGTCAAGGAAGAGTTTCTCTACGTTATCTGATTCCTTGGCTGAAGTCTCCAGGTAACACATGTCCTGAGCTTCTGAGAATTCCTCAGCTCTCTGCTGGGAGACCTCTCTCCTGTCAGCCAGGTCAATCTTGTTGCCCACTAGCACGGTGATGACCTTGTTGCTGGCATACTGTTCTATCTCTCGCAGCCACTCAGGAAGGCAGTGGAAGGATTCCTCACAGGTAATGTCATAGGTAAGGATCAAGGCATTGGCGCTGCGGTAATAACTCTGGGTAATGGAGTGAAATCTCTCCTGTCCTGCAGTGTCCCAGATCTGTAGCTTTACTTTTTCACCATTGATCTCCACTGTCTTAATCATAAAATCAACTCCAATTGTGGCTCCTTGACCTGGGGGGAAAAGACCCTGAGTGAATCGTCGGACTAGGCACGTCTTCCCCACACCGGCGTTGCCAATTAAAACGATTTTGAACAGGAAGTCATAATCTTCCATACTCATTTACACAGCTGGTTTGGGATTTTTCTCCCCACCCCGGGCATAAACAGAAATGATGTGAGAATGAGTCAATAGTAGTCCATAGTAAAAAACAGCATACCTGGGGATACTTACTGACGTCTCCTCTCCGTGTGTTGAGTTCTGGCTCCTGTTCGGCCTCTCGTGTGGTTCCCGGGTTTTGGCACCACTTGTGGCGAGCGCCTTCTCGGCCAGCGAGGAAGAACGACCACCACACCAGGAGTCTTCTCAGATCACACTTTATTGGAGAGCTTTCGAGTTGATGGGAGAGCTTGAGCGAGAGGCCCCATACACGAAAATGTGGCCGCTTATATAGGGAATAGGAACACGGGTCGTTCTATCATTGGTCGTCTGCCTTTCACCGTCACCAGGTGCCACGGGATTGGCTAAGGGCTCTAAATGGCTTGCACATGCGCAAAGCCCGGGACCCACAGTCCCGCCAAGCACTGCCTAATATGGAGTTGTTTACCTCAAAGCTGCAAGGAAGTGGGTGCCATCTTGTAATGGCATTTGCCCTGGCTCCCTGCAAAGAACCACAATATAGCCAGTCTAATATAAAAACCGTTTAACATGACACTTGTTGAATAATTCCACATGCCCAGAATGTAGGTTTAGGAGGGGAACCTGCAAAGAGTTGAGACTAAAAAAATGTAAAACAGGCTGTAGATCATAACAGGTCTTATTCTATATACCAGGCTAAGAATCAATTAATTTCCCTTTAGGTTTTGTTTCCCAGAAAACGCAAAAATTGGAATACTTTTAACAGAAGAATAACATGATCAAATTTCTGTAATATTTCAAGTATAACATGAACTGGAGAGTGGTAAAATACAGAATAGCAGAAGGGCTGGGATGAGATATTTATAAATGCAACATTGCTAGGCCTTGGTGACTCTTTTTGAATCATTTTGAATCTTCCTTTTGAGAATTTATTGAAAAATAATTTTTGATTATAAGTTGTTGATTGTTTGCCATTTGATTTTTATAATTTATTTCAAAGTTAAACTTTGAAAAAAGAATATTTGATCACCTAAACAGATATAAGCCCATCCTACCTTTTGTTGAAATGTCTACTCTATATCACTTTATATATATCTCACACACTTTCAGGTGACTGAATATCATTTCATCTCCATACCTCATCTTGAGCTATAGTTCAGGTTATACATTGGCACTGATTTAGTATTCTATTATTTCCCTTCAAAGAAGATGATTTCAATAATCCATCACTGAGGTCAGGGATAGTCTTCACAGAAATCATAGAGTCTACTATGTTGGGAAGACTTTATAAATTTTTTCTAATACTTATTGTTTTCAACTCAAATTTTCATCTAATTATCATTTTCTCCAAATTGTAAAAAAATACTCTAAAAAACAATCAAGTACCCCAAACAACAAAATAGTGAATTTATGAGAGGATATGCTAAGCTCTCAGAGCTGCCCAATCCCAATTGGCTTGTTCTTTGCATAGTCTTTCTCTGGATTTTCTCTCTTATGTCTTCACAGGTTCTGGGGAAATTTTAGAAAGTGAAATGTAACTATATTGAGTTATGGAAAATCACATGGCCAGTTTCATCTGTGTGTTGTTAAACATATTTCCATGAGTTTTTTGGATTATGCTACTTGTAGATTACATGCTTCCCATTGCTTATTCTCTCTATATTATTAAACATTCTTTTATGGCTTAGTAAAGAACTCAATTTTTTTCTTTAATCAAAAGCTTATGTTCAGCTGGATGCTAGTGGCTCATGCTGATAATCCTAGCTATTTAGGAAACTGAAATCTGAGTATCATAGTTCGAAGCCATCCTGGACAGGAAAGTCAGTGAAATATTTTATCTTCAATTAATCACCAGAAAACTGAAGTGGAAGTGGTGCCATGGCTTAAAGTAGTAGCGTGGTAACCTTCAGTAAAAGAGCTCAGGCACAGTGCCAGAGCCTTTTGAGTGCATTCAGATTTTGCAATTTGAAGCAAAGTTAAGCTTTGTCTTTAAAGCAGAAACAAATTTGGCATGCCTAAAGATGGATGACATTCAATATGTTATTAACTCCGGCTTCATTCCCAGGGAGCTTTTCATGGCCAATCTTATCTTCTCCATAAGGTACAAAACTAAGGATAGAAATAATTCCCAATTTGGGGGTCACAATTACAGTACTATAGAGAGATTACTTTTCAGTGAGTAGTAAATCTTCATAAAATATATTCATCCAGAAAATATTTCTCTTTGCATTTATGTACATAATACTATGATAAAGTCAAGAAAGATCTATTTGCTGACATATTTGGAAACTATATGAAATAAAAGAAACCATCCTATATATTTTTCTGGATCCTATGTGTCCTTTATTCTACATACCAAACTCTACTTCTTGTCAGTCTCATTATAGTCCTTTATATGACTGTATTTTATTTTAGAGACAGTCTTGTTTTTTTATACTAAGATGGCCTCCAATAAATGATCCTCCTATCTCAACTTTTTGAGTACTGGGATCAGGTGTGGACATTTATACTTGACCAGTCTGAGGCCTTAATATCCCTTCCTATCCAAGCTTTCGCAATGATTCAGGAATTGAAAGATTTTTATTCCTCTGTTTTAAATGTTCTTTCTCTAGACCTTCCCAGACCTAATTCTCATATATCAAGTCTCAATTATAACATAATTAAATCAACATGAATTTCCTATTTCATTTGACTACCCTGTCTGACTTCTGTAAAACTTTTCAATAAATAATAAAGTTCAATGGTATAGATTTCTATGTGAAGATTTCCAAATCATACACTTAATGTCATATCATTCAAAGTTTCACATTTGAACACAACCACTTCCAAGTCTAAACAACACTGACCATGTGCTGGCCATTTGGGGACCATCAGTGACCAGTTTGAGGCTCTGACATATCACAGCCCATACATACTATGCTGACTCTTTATATGTTACTTCTCAATGGAAAACAGGCTGCTGGAGAGCAGGTGCTTTGTCTAGTTCTCTGCTCCTTCCTCAGCACCTGGCTCACAGCAGGTATTCAATTTATATTGGTTGAACAAATGAATATAAAAATCTGAAAATAGCATTTCAGGATAAATACATTATGGTTCCTAGAGATAAACATTAAAACAATGACAACAAATATAAAAGTTTTACAGTGTCTATTTTCTGGTAATTTGATTTTTAACAGTTTTTAAGAACGTTTCCAATATTACTGTGAATTATCTTCCATTATAGGCATTATCATATCAAGATTTGCCTGGTATGTAGAATCACCAGATTTTGTTGATTGCTTTCTATACTCATTACAACAACCTCAGCATTTAACTATATTGTTAATGTTTTCAAACACAATGTTGGCTTACATTTATATGGCAATTGTTTTGAAATCTTCATTTGTATCCATTTCTCCACTAGGTTAGGAATAATTGAGGTGAGCAGAGCAGCAGTCTAAAGTACATGCGTTCTGATAAGTTAGTAAGTTTCAAACTGATTGGGTACATTGTAAGCTATGATCTATAAAATAAGCCCACAAACCTAAAACATAGAACATATCATATCTGAAACATTTCACATTCATATATGCATGTGTACGTGTATATGTATGTTTATGTTAATGAATTTCTTGTCTCTCTGTTTGTATTACTTCCCCCAATGGCAGAAGTAATCCAAGTGTCGATCAACAGATGAATGGATAAATAGAAGCTAGTCTCAGTTTCCTTCATGTAGATAACCAGTTTCCCTTGCAACATTTGAAAAGGCAGTCTCTTCCCCAGTGTATATTTTTGGCTTCTTTGTCAACAATCAAATGTCTATAACTGTGGTATTCGTGTTCATACTGTACTAAAATTGACTCCGAATGGATCAAAAATCTTAATCTAAGACCTGAAACCTTGATGCTACCACAGGCAAACATAGAGAAAACTCTGGAAGATATCAGCATAGGTATTTATTTTTCTGAATAAGACTTCAATTGGCCAACAAAAATGTTAAGAATTGACAAAAGGGATTGCATTGAATTAAAATGCTTCAGCACCTCAGAATAAACAATTACCACACAGACAAATGACAGAGGGGAGAAAATCTTGGCAAGTTATTCAATGAACAAAGGATTAATATTCAGAATATACAAAGAGCTCATAAATTGGTACTAAACAGCAAAATAATATAATCCAATTAATAAATGGACAAATAAATTGAATCCACAGTTCTTAGAAGAATTACAAACAACTAATGAATACATTATCAGCTTTAGCCATAAAGGAAATACAAATCAAACTACAGTAATATTCCATTTCACTCCAATCAGAATGACAATCATCCAGAAAACAAAACAAACAAAAAAAACAAATGTTGTTGGAGAGGATTCAGGGTAAAGAATCTCCTATAATCTTGATGGAAATATAAACTAGTGCAACCACAATAGAAATCACTATGGAGCTTCTTCAAAAAAAAAAAACAAGAACAGCTGGGTGCCAGTGGTTTATGTTTATAATCCTAGCTACTCAGGAGGTTGAGATTTGAGGATTTCAGTTCAAAGCCAGTCTGGGCAGGAAAGTCTCTGAGTCTCTCTTATCAAAAAACAAAAACAAAAGCAAAACAGAAATCCAGAAGTGGTACTGTACTCAAGTGGTAGAGTATTAGCCTTGAGATGAAGAGCTCAGGGACAGTGCCCAGGCCCAGAGTTCAAGCCCCATGACTGACAAAAACAAACAAAACAACAACAACAACAATAAGAACAAAACAAGAACAGACCTATCATAATGAACATACCATATCACTCTGAAAGGATGTAAAACAATATACAAGAGACATGCATAACTATATTTTTTGCACTCTATTCACAATGGCTGAAGTATGGAACCAGTCAAAGTACACAATACCTGCAAAATGAATAAACTATGTTATACATATACATATAATGAAATATTACTCATGCATAAAGAAATGAAAAATTACATCATTTGCTGGAAAATGCACAAAACTGGGTAGACTCATAATGAGCAGAATAACTTAAGCAATGGAAGTAAAATAATACATGCTCTCATTTGTGGGACC